GGACGTTCCACAACATCCCGAGGTACGATATTCCCGTGATCAACCACCCTGACAGTTAGGAACTTTTTCCTAATGTCCAACCTAAACCTCCCTTGCTGCAGTTTATGCCCATTGCTTCTTGTTCTATCCTTAGAGGCTAAGGTGAACAAGTTTTCTCCCTCCTCCTTATGACACCCTTTTAGATACCTGAAAACTGCTATCATGTCCTCTCTCAGTCTTCTCTTTTCCAAATTAAACAAACCCAGTTCTTTCAGCCTTCCTTCATAGGTCATGTTCTCAAGACCTTTAATCATTCTTGTTGCTGATTATGATGATGGTTTGCTTTATATTTGCTTTTAAGCCTAACCTGGACATGCTGCTAATTAGTAAATCCCAGACACCAAAGGCTTGCCAGGGAAACTGATAAGAGGCACTGCTTGACATGGTGGTAGAGTTTGCAGGACTCATCATTTTAGGAGATTTCAGCATTGATCAAAACTCCCTATCCAGACTTTTCACATTAGTTTCCTCACAGGTAATTTCCAGACCCACCCACTCAATTGACAACATCCTGGACTAGATCTTTGGGCTTGGTGTGGACATAAAAATTAAGTAAAATAAATAAAAATCTCCCTTTAATGATCAGGCTATTTCCTCCTTGAGGCAGAAATAATAAATTTCCCCATAGCAAGGCTAAAGAAAAGCAATACCACGATCTGTTCCTGAAACCTTTAGACCCAGCTAAATTCCAAAATCTACTTATAGCAGACCCTGCCCAACCAAGAGGCCAAGGAGTAAAAGAATCAGTAAAGTATAATAGCCACTCTCTGACTACTGCTGTACACTCTGAGCCATAGTCTCAGTCATGGGCAACGGAAATGGAAGGGGAGAGGGACAAAGGACCATTCCCCCTTGCACACACTTTTTAAACGGGGGGGCCATGCCCCCCACATTTGAGAACCTGAACTTGACAGGGGTGCAATGAGGGTCATAATGCCAGTCAAATTTGGGCTGTTTTGGTTGCTTGCCCTGCTCCCACCCCATACTTCCGCAATCCTTCTGGTGCCACTGTCCTCAGCTGGTGTAAATCACTAACTTTACTAGAGCTATGCCAATTTATACCAGCTGAGGATCTGGTCATCAAAGTACCATGGTCCACATTGATTGATATGGCTCTTGGATGACCTGGAATAGAAAAACTGGGAAGAAAACCTGTCTACAAACCTGTGCCAAGGCCATGAAGGAGACAAAGAGAGCCTACCAACCCCTTGTCATAGAGGCAGCAAAGTCACAACTGACAGAACTTCTCTGGGTCACAAAACACTTTATATACTCAAACTGGCTCCACTCAACCCCAAAACACAGCACTTACAGCAAGGAACTATCTTATTTAATAGAATTGATCATTTGTATCTGGGATGGCCTCATCGACCAGCATGAACAACAAATTCAGAACGAGACCATAATACCCTCCTTCCAAGTTTTTGGCCCATTCACACAAATAGAAGTCTAGGAAAATTTGATAGAAATCATGGCCACTGTTTGTGATTCTGTCTGCTGCCATTCTGGATAGTAAGAGAGAGTAGACAATTTGAAACTCCCACTAAGACATACTGTCAACACTTTTGATTAGAGGAATTTACCACCTATCCTAGAATATGCAATAATCTGAC